TTTCCAATAAACGAAATGATGTTCATCATGCCTCAGTTCAAAGCAGAAGGAAATTTTAAAGAAAAGAATGAAGGTACACACATGAAAATTCGTTTTCATGTTGTTCTTGCAAAAGCCCCTGAGGAAGTGTGGTCATTGATTAAAATCAAGAAAGTGATCAGTATGAAAAAGGATGTGGTATTCGAAAACACAGTCCAAAATTTCAAGTATGTGGTTGCCAGGGCAAATGGAAATATTTGTGAGTTTACTGTTGCAGATTTTCCATTAATGAACTTGTATGATCTTATACAAGTTGCATTAATTTTAAAAGACAAATCATTTTCATACCTTCAAAACACAGAACCTGATGAATTCAAGCTTGGGGTTGCTCACATCAAGATTTTCATCGAAAATTACTATGAGTGCTTGGCTCTTACAGATGTGGAGTTAGCTACGGCTAAAGGTATGGAAATTAAAGCTCCGATGGCTCCTACGAAAAACTCAGGCAGAATTGAAGAAGTATGCTGATGGTGAAATTTGCCTTAAGCCTTTTGGAATGGTCTTCGCAGGAAAAGACAAGGCTGGTAAAGCAAAACGTTTCTTGTTCCAGGCATGCGAAGTAGAAAGGTATTCAACGTCTCAATATACGAATTTAATTGTTCGTATGAATCATTGTAAGAAGAACAATGAAGGAGATAAGAAAGAGCTGAAGAAGATAATCTCATGGTACACAGAGATTCGAAGAGTAATGCTGTATTCCATCCAGTTTCTTACAAATTAAGGAGTTCGGCTTTGATTACAAAGGGGGAGATTGTAAGGGTCGAATTATTGTAATAAGTCGAATTGTATTCTGAACTCTTCGAATGTCTTGTAATGTATTTTACTAAGGCGCTTTTATTCGAAGCGTTAGTGTCTATGCCTTAGTATATTTTTTGTACGCTTTCGGTTCCCTATAAATAGGGATATTTACTAGAGTTAGATAAGAGTTTTTACAGATCTGTCTTTATTCTCTGTAAACATTCGAAAGCGTAATAGAGGTGAAACAAGATCATATTTACATCTGTTGTTCAATCTCGCATTCTTAATTAATTTCATACTCTGATTTGTTTTATACTTGATTCTTTGATTTTTCAAGAACCGATATTATTCTATAATATAATGAGCTTTTCATACCAAAGGGTTATCACAAAAGGACTTCAGGTGTTTACTCGAACTCACGACTTCTTTTTTCAAGCCCAAGTGTTGATGTCTTATTTTATAAATCTTTTATGTCCTATCCACATAGGATTCTTGTTTTTCTAGTTAAAAAGAATATAATAAATGAATATCATCCCCTCTAACATTGCTATAAAATATTGGTACACAATATTTTTTAGTCGTATACAATAATGTTTTAAATGATTATATTGTATAGTTATATAAAACATAATTTGTTATGTATAAATAAAAAATGTTGTGTACATATCATTGTCCTTTACAATTTCACATCATGTTCTAACAATGTCACTTTCTTAAAACAATTATCCTAATATCCAACAGTATTCTAAACGTAACTTAACTTGACTAAAGCCTCATTTAACATATTAAATGTAAGTTAGTTTTTAGCTTGAAAAACTAGTTGGTAGCTGATAAGTTATGTTATAAATTAATAATGTTTACTAAAAGTATTTTATGAGTTAAATTGCAATGTAAAATGCCATAAATATATATTTAAATATATAACTAAAACAATTAGATATCATTCAAAACATATTTAAAATATTTTTGAAAAAACTTCATAAGCTTAACAAAAATTATTTTAAAATAGCTTATGAAAATCTAGATTATAATTTAATAAGCTAAAATAAACTATTTTTATGATTTTAACAGATAACAAATTACAATAAGGGTACCCTTACAATAAACTAACAATAAACTAATTTAACTTTAACAAACAAAACCTAAATGTTTATATACTTGTACCTTTATTAAAATTAAAAGTTATCTAAGAAAAATATTTCATAAAATAATTTTTTCGTGGTAACTTGTCGGATCTAAAAAGGCAGAAACGGAGGTAAAGTGATGGTGAAGTAGCATGCGGTGGTCGTTGCAGGTGCAAGTTAGTATTCCAACGGTAGGGTTTGGGCTTCTGACAGGCAGAGCCCCTATGAATCCATGATCTTCAGTCAAACAAAACACTTCAAAGTCTAGCCCCTTTTCATACACGCAATTATATAGCTATCTCTTTATTCTCAATTAATTCCTTGTCGTTTAATTATTTAATTTTTAGATAATCTTAAAGAAAACAAAACGATGTCATTTGACTTATATCTTAAAAGAAAAAGTTCAAAAAAAAAAAAAAAAAAAAAAATGCAAATACCAATTTCGGGAAAATGACTTACTAAGGTAATTAACTTTTCTGTATGTTCATATCTGGGTAAATATCTTTTTATTGTACATATCTGGGTAACAAATTTGTTTGAAGTGTTCACATATGACCATTTTCACCTGCTATAGCAGGTTACATCCTAGATGTGAACACTTTCAACAAGTTCGTTACCTAGATCTGTACAAAAAAAAAAAAATAGTTACCCAAATATGAACAAAATGAAAAGTAAGAGTAAATTACACGAATGGTCCCTGTGGTTTGGGGGGAATTTGTGTTTTTGGTCCCTAACTTATTTTTTAACTCGGATGGTCCCTACTGTTTATTTTTGTTACGCGTTTGGTCCCTGTCTTACCTAAAAAGACTATTGTGACATTATTAATTTATTTTTTAATTAACTTTCTTATTTATGTATTTATTTTTTTTATATATTTAAAAAACTTAATAGACCCCACATATCTGTATCTACTCACCATCCATCTCTTATCCTCCTCAACTTCTATTTATTTTTCATCTTTAGTCATATCGACATCTTCACTATCTCTTCTTTTTTTCGTTCCTTCAACTGTCTCTTCATCTTTAGTGGGTTGTGGTGTTGATTCGGTGGAGGTGAAGGAACGAAAAAGAAGAGATGGTGAAGATGTCGATATCACTAAAGATGAAAAATAAATAGAAGTTTAGGAGGATGAGAGATGAGATGGTGAGGAGATACATATATGTGAGGTCTATTAAGTTTTTTAAATATATAAAAAAAATAAATACATAAATAAGAAAGTTAATTAAAAAATAAATTAATAAGGGCACAATAGTCTTTTTAGGTAAGACAGTGACCAAACGCGCAACAAAAATAAACAGTAGGGACCATCCGAGTTAAAAAAAATAAGTTAGGGACCAAAAACACAAATTCCCCCAAACCACAGGGACCATTCGTGTAATTTACTCTTACTTTTCTTCATATTTGGGTAACTATTTTTTGTGTACACATCTAGGTAACGAACTAGTTGAAAGTGTTCACATCTAGGATGTAACATGCTACAGCAGGTCATAATGGTCATATATGAACACTTCCAACAAGTTTGTTACCTAGATGTGGAAAAAAAAAGATAGTTACCCAGATGTGAACATACAGAAAAGTTAATTACCTTAGTAAGTCATTTTCCCTTTCGAAAATCTAAGTTTTATCTATGAACTTGGATTTTTGTATTAAAAAACTAAGAGTTAGTTTTTTTTAAATAATTTTTTATTCTTACACTAAAAATATACTCAAGTTTATTTAGGGATGTTTGAGATAGTTTATTTTAAACAACTTATGTTTTTTGTAAAGTATTTATTATCTTATCCGGTGTCAAAATAAAGATGTAGAAAATATGTTTGGATTAGTTTATTTGGTATCAAAACGTAATATATTAACAAATAGTTTTTTAATATTTGATAAGTTTTATGTATACGTGTAAAATGACCGAAAAAAAAACATTACATAATATTGTTTTCTTTGTTTTTTATAATATAGTTCATCTTTTGTCATTTATAATAGGAAAAAGTAACACAAAAACCCTACAATGTATTACACATTTGTTCATTCAGTCTCTTAACTTATTTTCGTGCTTTATGAGAGAACAAACTTGTTTTTGTCGGGTCTATATGATCATCTTTGAAGAAATGAGGGGGTCAACTAATAACTTGTGAGACACCTCATCTATAACACTCATTAGAACATGTATACTTTTATTTTAAAAATTAAGTGGACCCTATTTTAACTTCATTCACAATCTTTTGCGTGTCCAAAATGACACATCAGGAAAATGTTTAGGAAAATGTGACTAAAGGCTCATTTGCGGTTTATCTTATATTTTTCGCGAATCGACTCCTTCACCGTTTTAGACGCCTCTTGATCCTCGGGGTCGAGGTGCCTCCTATCTTGCATTAATAACGAAATATTATGTGAGTCGGACGGTTTCATTCATATATCTCTCCAAAGTTGAATTCAATTGTACCATTTGTGCCATAATTTTCTTCGATCTAGCCGACCGCTCATTTCTGACTGACGGATTTGAAGATGTCGCTTTCTCTTTTCCTCTTGCTCGAGTTTTTTTTGTCCCTTCCCATTGGTGGAGGAGGCGGGCGTATTTCTTCGATTTCGTCGTTAACATCATTAAGATTAACGCTTACGTGACCATCCGATGGCACTCTTTGTGAGCTCGAATATGAAGATGTTCGACTTCTTTTTGGCAGATTAGCAATTTTTTCATGTGTTGCAAGTTCCCTCCACCCAATGCTTCTTTTGACAACTTCTCACACATGAATAAACTTAAAAGGCTTTAGTATATCATCTTGAAATGTAGCGTGCGTTTTTTTCAACAAACTTGCTTCACTTTCTCCACTAGCCCATTGCTTTTCAAAGTTTGTGTAAATTCCATTCCAATGTGTGTCACGAGTTTGTTCATAAGATTCCATTTCGAGTTACATTGGTCGGAGGTCTGATAATATGGATCTCGACCCATTCCCTTACAAAACCGTCACGTGATACGTAACCAAAATTGATCACGATTTTGACCCTTTCCCGTGCCACCATCTTCGAATATGTCGGCCCATGCCTTTGCTAGCTTAATTTCTTCTTTTTGTGTCCATCTTCTTGGATCGGCCTTCCTTTTTTTTCTTAAGGTTTTTGTTCTTCGTGTTCGGAATCGGAAAGAATTTCGGTTGAAGGTGTGAAGGGCGGTTGGGATTGAAATTGGAATTGGGTTTGGGATGGTTGGGTTTGTGGTTGGGATTGGAATTGGATTTGTTGTAGCATTTGGAATTGTGAATAATATCTAGGAACACCATTCATTTGTGGCCGGTAAGGTGGTGGTGATAACGGATCGTAGCCGAAAAGTGTGAATTGATTGTAAACATTTTGGTTTGGAGCATTTTGCTTGGAAGAGTTTGGATTGTGGGAAGACATTTTGAATGAAAAGTGTGTAAATTGGTAAAATGTTTTGGAATAATGGTATGTATATATATGAAGTAAATTTGTTTGAAAATAATGAAAAAAGTAGTCGTTGCCAACCGTTGTCAAAATTCCATTCCAAACCAGCGTTTCATTTTCAAATTTTAGCCATCGGTAGAAACTCACCGCCGGTATTGTACCGGCGGTAATTCTTTTGGTAGGGCCCAGTGTTTACCGGTGGTAAATCGGCCTAGTCAGCATTACCGGTGGTGGCTATCTTATGACACCGCTTAGCCTAATAATTTAAAGTGAAGAGAAGGGGCAAGAGGCATGTTTTATCAAAACACCGTGTTAATAAGTAGTGTAGTAAAACTCAAAACAAGCCATTATGTCTCGTATTCCCATAAAAGAAAGAACCTGCCTCAATTTGCCTTCTTTCACTTCTTTCCTTCCCCACCCACTTCTACACACCAATGCTTGTAAAAATAATGGAAAACATTGACATGAATCATGGTTGTCAAAATCGCGATCCTGATCGTAGGATCGTACGATCGTACGATCTTAGGTATGAAAAACGATCTGGATCGTAAAATGATCGTATTTGGTGTAGGATCGTAGGTAGGATCGTAAGATCGTAGGTAGGATCGTAGGATCGAGATCCGATCCGATCCTACCTTCACTTGATTTTTTTTTTTTTGCAAATGAATTTTTTACCACTTTATGTCTTTTACCCTTCACTAATTTACCATTTATCATTTTGTATTTTGACTTATGACTAATATTTTGAAGTTTTTATAACTTTTGAACGAAAAATTGAATGTTTGAAATATTTTTCATGATTAAAAATTATAAATTAGAATTATATTTTATTTTGTGGGATCTTAGGATCCCGATCCCGATCTTACGATATCGATCTTTCAAACTCAAAAACGATCCTAGGTAGGATCCCGATCTTGACAACCTTAACATGAAGTTGTACTTACTATTGTAATATTGTTATATTGTAACTTCTCAGATAGACAAAAAAAAATGACATATTTAACGAAATATAGCCACATTGGAAATACATGCAACCCATATTATTACTCAAAATATTGCAGTTGGATTTAATTGTAAAATATAAAAAACATAAACTGTTATATAAATTTAAATTACACTTGATGTCACCTGAAAAAATGTCGATAAAATATCCAACATTCTACACAAAAGTTATTATTCTTCACCCAACATTAGGATGTTTACTAAAAAGGACTTTTATGTCTCGTGCCCCTCGTAGGAACTAAAATCCCCATTTTCTCCTTTTGGCTGAAATCCTATCCACGAAGTCATGAAATGCATATTATGCAAAATGAAAGTTAAAGAAAAGAAAGTTAAAGGTTAATAAATTTATGAGTGTAGAATAAATAACATAACATTACCATATATTTAAAATCAGAACATGTTTAAATGAGTTAAATTCAAAACGATTTCTTTCATGAGAGAAGCGTCAATATTTTCAAGGTATGAGTATAAGTGCAATTGCGCCGGTTGATTTGTGCACAAACATATAGTTTTTGAGAAATCAAATATGCTTCTATTTTCTGTTCATACGCATCGCTCTACTAACTATATCAAGATAAATGTTAAAATCAAGATATGAAATTATGAGAAAATATATGTTCCAATTTTATAGATTTGGTGACCATGTTCCCCAATACCAACCAGCCAAACTTAAGTAAAGATGTTTCAATTTCTTAGAATTGATGAATGTTTTCCGATTGAGATTAAATTGTCCCATTTTATCTTTGTCAATGACGCTCGTATGCTTAGAGTGGCTGATAGACAATGGTTGTAACAATATGTGTATTTATGACTCTTCTACTTGACTTATGATCTTCAAATTTTCAATTAAATTAATTTGTTGAAAAGTAATATTTTTGGGATAAGTGTTAGTACGATAGAGGTGAATGACATTGAATCTTGGGGTGCAAACGAAGATACGCTCTCGTTTACGTATCCAATCCTTCAGTTGGTAGTAATATGTCTAAGAAGGAAGCGTGGTTACCGATTCTCAAAAAAATAACCACAAACTTTCGCATTGTAAAGTTGAGATTTATCAATTAAGTCTTTAAAACAGTCTTACGAAACCTAAGTTTTTTACTTTATGGGTTCTTATGGCTATTTTGAAGATGTCTGAAAGTTCCGATAACACTTTCTATTGGGAAAGTAACTTGTACAAATGGAAAATAACTTGGATTAACTGGGAACATGTTCTTGTGGCCAACAAAAAAAGGCTTGGTAGTGGTAGCATATTTTCATTTGATCGAGCTCTATACACGAATGGAGATGGTGGTTTCATACAAAACCATTTGTTGTTTGGGTGACAAATATCAAATATTGTTTAGGACTTTGATGGTGGGTTCGACAATAATTTTATAGTATTATGGGGTGGATTGTAAGATAATATAGGGAGGTTTAGAAAAAAAAAAGAGGCAGATATATATTTTTCGAGTGTAGAGTGGTTGGTTGTGGGTCTACTACATATTTTTCGAAAGATTGGTGGATAGATGACTAACCACTTTATATATCGTTCCTCATGTTGGATTAGTGTCTAAGCCTGTAACCATATTTGGTAAGTACTTGACCCGATTGTGCATGGTCCTTTTGGGTTGCCTTCACCAAAGCAACTTGACTGGAGAAATAATAGAGAAAGAGATTATTATGATTTATTAATATGTTATAAGAATAATATATTAAAGGAGAAATCATATTTGTTTAATTAATATTGGTCAATAATTAATTAAGAATTAATTTTGTGATCGAATGAAATTAATTAAACTAGAGGGGCTGAATTGTAATTATGTGATAGTTACAAAATATGGTAATGGTTATCCTAAATATGGGTTGAACGAATTCAAGGAGATAAGGATCCTTGAAATCGTCCAAAGGATAAAGGATAAGGGATTTCAAGGCTTATCTTATGATTGCTTGGTGGGCAAGCAACTAGATAAGGATAAGGACTGAAACCCTAATCTCTACACCTATATAAAGACCCCTGAAGCTCATGAATTCGTCCATGCCTTCCCAAGGGGTCCTAGGGACGAAATTCTATACCTCTTCCCTCTCTCTATTACCTCTCCATTTGCTCTTGGTGTTTGTGAGCCATTAGAGGTACTACACTTGTGGTACTTGCTTTCAAAGACAAGAAGATTCAAGATTTAAGTTGTTATTACAATATAACAACAAGAGGTATGTATTTCATCTTTCCTTGTGGATTTCGAAATTCCTAGAAGCCTTTTAGGGTTCTTCAAGTGTTCATAATGTTGTGTATCTAATAGTGAAAACATAGATCCAATTCTAGGGTTGCATGCACACATAGGATTGTTTGTACAAAACCCATCAGTGGTATCAGAGCCTTTGGTTAACTTGTTTTCAATTAGTATTATTCAATTGTATGAACTTGACATATTAGGGTTTATTGCCGATAAACCCTAGGAGGCTAGGATTTTCGAGATTAGAGTTTGCAAACCCTAATTTGCAGAAGTTTGAATAAGATTTTCAAACCCTTTCCTTAAACCTTTAAATTTCGAAATCTAGGGTTTGTCTTAATCCCTTGATTTTCGAAATTGGCCTCCTCCCCAAGATAAGATCCTAAATTTTAGGGATTTGGATTATCCCATATCTTGTAATTATCCTTTAATTGTTATATATGGTAATTAAAGATTTTGAATTATCCTACCCCATGATTTTCGAATTTTAGAGGGATTAAAAGGATTAGGATAAATTAATTGTTTAATTGGTAATTATCCTTCATGATTTAGATAATCCCTTATGATTTAATAATTTAAATTAATAGTTTAATTCAAGATAATTATTAAATCAAGAGTTTTAATATTTAAAATTTTAATTTAAATAGTATTAAATTTCGAAAATTTTAAAGTGAAATTAAAACCTAATTGTTTTGAAAAGTTTCAAAACTTGCCCTCAAGTTTTGGAATTTAAATTGTTTGATTAAAAGGTTTAATTTTTGAAAAAGTCTAAATTCTAAAACCCTAATTTTGAAAAGTTCATATTACACCCTTATGGTTTTATTAAATTAGCTAAGTGTATAACTAAAAGAGAGTTAATAAATCCATAATGATATGGTTTATATTTAATTAAATTAAAAGTGTAATTTATAAAATTAAACCACCTAGTATTTTAAAAGTGTAAAATACACCCTTATACTATATATATAACATTGAAAGTCTAATATTATATATGTATAACTAAAATGCTAGTCTTACCGTTAGTAGGCCTCATTCACAAAGCCGATCTATAAGGGGGGTATAAGGTTATGGCCTATAAAATGGCCGTTTAATGGGTGTCCACTCTCACCCACCGCTTCCTTGATTGGTGGAGGGTCGTTAGCCGAACGGGTAGGATAGGGCAAACCCTTTCCATTAAAAGTATAATGAAGTATAAAGTAACTAAATGTTTTTACAAAATTCCCAATCTTAGTTACTTTAGGCAAAAGTGAATTGATGCAATCCCATGAAATTACACTTTGTGCCCTTGCGAAGACGTTAGTGGAGCGCGTGTGGTTAACCGGCACACTAAATGGTTCTAAGCAAAGGTAGCAAAGGATGACTCATTGTTTGTCATAGTTCGGTGGAGCGTGTGTGGTTAACCGGCACATCGAATAGGTGACTGTAACATTGGGGGCACCATGTAAGTTTGCATGGTTATTCACACCCTGTTTTGTGATCCTCGGCATCCCAGTCACAAATCGAGGGGCATATCGAGATTTAAACATGCCATTGAAAAGTTCAATGAATCTCAAAAGATCTAGGAATTTTCAATAGATTTAAAACTAAATTTCTTTTTCGTTTTTCATAGTGGAAATTAGTGAATCGTCATTCACTTACCTTCAAATGTTCTGCAATTTGGGTTACGGCATCCCTCTCCCAAATTGTAGAGTATTGTGTTGGGTCCTAGCCTTAATATCTCATTTGGGTGATTTATTAAGGATTCAATCAATCAACTAACTTGAATTT